GCCACTGTGTAGTGCTTCTCCCTTTCTTTCCACTCACATCTTTCTAAATAAGTTTCAATAACTCACACACACACACACACACACACACACACACACACACACACACCACAAATAATCCTCACTAAGGACTATAGAGAGAATAGTTGGGTTTCCAATTATACAGATTATTTTAAAATTCAAAATAAAAATAAAGTCATTATTGGTAATGAGGAAGTATGTAATAGTCTCAGTACTATCATGTGTATTAAAACACGGAATTGTTGAATTAGCACAGCCTTTTCCCAAGGCCACCCGCTGAGGTTGGGAGTACCTCAGATAGGGTCTCTGTGCAGTAGCTAAGGATCAAACTTGTCTGCTTTCAGTTTCTACCAAGCACTATCAGACCTGCAACTCCCAGAAGAATCTCTAATTGATATGATTAAATCAAAGCACTTAGATTTACAATGCTCCCATAAATCACATAGCACTTCCAAATTTGGATTTACCTTCAAGGTCTATCCTTACCCTCAGGTAACTCTCTTTGCTCCAGCCTGAATACCTTCTGCCTATTAAAGAAAAAGCTAACAAAGAATGACCACTTTCCATAAGTACTGTGTAAACTACTTCATATGATTTATGTGAATCTCGCTACCTTGTTGCCATTCTCTTCACCACACAAGCATCCAAGACCCACAATTAAAACTCCTTACAAAGCAGTCATGTTCATATGAAATGTACATAAATAAATAATTTTATCCTTTAAGTACCAAAATTGTATAAGCATCAAGATCCACAAAACCTTAATATGCCTCTATCATTATTTCCATTTCATTAGGCCCAGAGAAGTCAAATAACTTGCCAAAGTACTAGTCCCAGGGAAATGGCAGAGGTAAGAGTTGAGGCCAAGGGACCAGAAAGATAGTACAGCAGGCCTGTACTCAGAGATCACTACGGCAGTGCTCAGGGGGGCCATATTCCAGGTTGGTTTTGTGCAAGGCAAATGCTTTCTCCCTTGCTTTAACTGATCCTAAGGATGTATCGTATTCATTCCTATCTTAGTGATTCCCGCTATCTTAATGGCCGTTTTCCTCCTTCCTTTCATCACTAGATTCCGAGAAGGCTTGTAGTCACCCTCCAAACCCCAACTCAAATGCTACCCCTTCTTCACAGCTTTTCCTAAGCCTTTCGGGGAAACGAGATATCCTCCAGCTATCCTTCTATGTTAAATACCTTCCCACAATATAAATAGGATATAATGTGAGAAGTATATGCTTTTTGGAGCTAAACTGACTTTGATTCAAAGTATATATCTTTTACTTATGTGATACAACCTGGGGCAAAAATGTTCTTCTCAAATCTTCATTTCTTTTAGCTGGATAATGGGCATAATTTTTACTACATTGATTCATTTAAACAATCCACCAGCCTCATATGCATCCAAGAAATACTTCATGAGCACCTACTACATGCTAGGCACAAAGGATACAATTATGAAAACAGGTACCATTCCTGCCCTCGCAGAGCTTACAATCAACTAGAGGATACACTAAGTGAGCAGGTGACTATAAAACAGAGTGAAAAAAAAGCATTTCAGTAAAGACCAAGAGAAGGGACAAAGGAGCCTTAAGAAGCACCCTGACCTACCCCAGACTAGTGGGTCAGGTAAGGACAAAGAGGTAAGTCTCTTAAAATAAAACAGAGCAAAATTCAAGACAGATAACGCAAGTAATTTCAATTTAATAAAATACTTCCACTCCACCCACACCATAATCACACGTCCCTCATTTCTTAAGCATTTAAAAATTCTGCTGAACGTCAGGGAGGGAAACTGATTTTTTTTTAACACAGTTAAGTGGGTCAACAAAAGTGAAACTTCAGGCATTGTACTGGGCAGTGGATACCTCAAGACTAATGGAAGAGGTCAAATTCTTAAGAATAACATCTGTTTCTCAGTAGCTTGTCACAACTATAAGGATCCCATAACATTTGTTCTTGTTTTCTGCATTAAAGCATTTAATGACAGAACAAGGAAATCATTTTTTACATTTTTCTGGGGGCTGAGCTACTGCATAAAGTGAGAGACAATTGCAGCTTTCAAAAGCGACGCTAATTGCAGCTTTTAAAATATTAGACTCCCTCTAAACACCCCTCACCCCCAGCCCCTAAGAATTGCTGGATCTTTCTTAAAGGTGTCGAGGGGATGTTGCTCTATTGACTCATCTCCTACCTGAGAACTGAAAATAATTTTTTGCTGACTGGTTTCTTCCTAGTTCTTCAAGGGTTCTATGTTTCACTTCTTCAGAGCCACTGGAAAGAGGCACCATCTTATTGAAGCAAGGGCCCCTCAACAATAGAAAAGCTTCATCCGACAGATAAAGAGGAAAAAACTCACCACCTCCTACTTAATTTCATCTCCAATGGGAATTTCCATCTTAATTTAGACTTTTTTTAACCAGCAAACCTGCAAGGGTAGGACTATGAGCCTCTCACAGAGATTTTCTAAGCAAAATGAAGGAGAAAAAGTGGCTCAGCAGATAGGCTTCTTATTTCTGAGAGGTGAGTGGAGAAAGTGCTGGTGTTCTGGCAATTCTATTTATAAAAGCTTTTCTTTATAAGATGATGACAAGTTTAAGAAGGAGACAAAGAGAACAGAAGCAGCTGCCCACAGAGACAATTAGCTTTCATTTGATTATTGGAAAATTATGCTGTTCAGACCAGAAGAAAGGGATGAGGAGGAGGAGAGATGAAGGCAAGTAACAAAATATGGAACGAAACCAATGTTCCATTATAAAAACATGGTGAAGGGATCAGCCAATAACGCTCTAAAGAACACCTTCCTTATTTCCTTAAGCAAAGAGAAACACTAGAATCTGGAAAAAAAGGAGAATTTTGTTCTTGTCACGCTAACTATGCCTTTCATACTTTTCAGCTATAAATGTGGATGGCATAATATGTTCAGCCATGAAATTTTCAAGATAGTTGTATCATTATCTATATATCCACACTAAAATACCTTTTCTGAAAATTGAAAGATATGTAATTTCTACAAAAGAAAAAAAAAGTTGGTTGACATACAATCAAATATAAATAGACTGATTGAACCCAATCCTACTGTGAAGTGTAAGCCTTGTAACCTGCTTATGAAAATATGAATACGCACTCACTTTCCTTCTTCTCTCAGTCCCAGTGACTAGGATTTAAGCTCGAATACTTATACCTCTAAGAGACTGGTCTCAGAGCCAAACTATGAGGTGGAGTGCCTGACAGTTTTCTAAGGCCAGAAAATCTGAATCTAAAGGAATACTGTTGAAGAAGATTACTGGGAATAAAATCAGAGGACTATGCAAGATAGAGAGGTGCAAACTTTGAAGAAGGAATGAGAGTGGTAAAATGTCCAACTGACCAAGACAGACAGACATACACACAGAGACACACACATATATGCATGCACACACACACATGCACACACACACGTATACACACACACATGTACACACACACACAGAGGTATACTGCTTCCTCAGGTTAAAAAAGTGATTTCTAAACTGACATTGGAGGAGAATGTATCTCATTCTTTGCCAAGTGGTTGTGACTTTTCTAAGGGTCACAAGAGGAATCATGCAAAAGCACTTCTCCTTCAGCCCAATATCCCTTGCAGCAATCAGTCTCTCATCACAGTGGCTAATTCTTGAAGCAAATGGATGTCAAAGCTTAATTGTGTCCTGAACACAGGCCGTATTTCACCTAATCCACACCTCCTTGATCTGTGAAATCAGGTCCCTAGTTTTTCTCAAATCAAAATTCACTTCCCTACAAGACTCATTCCCCTTGACAGATCTGAAGGGAAACCAGTGAGGATTATTGATCATTAAAGAGTGGGGAGAGGTTCCAGCTCATCCTGTATCTAAAAATGTGTCTGGAGTGAAGAGATGAAATAGAGATTTAGGTGCTTGCCTTGGATGTAGCCAATGAGGTCTCTAGGACTACCTGTGGACCCCAGCACCTCCAGGAGTGATCCCTGTACACTGATCCCTCCGCCGTCCCTATTCCTAGATCCCAGTCACCCATGAATGTCTTCTGTTTGTCACTAAACTCATTCTGGCTCCACTTCCACTTACGTATGTCACTGCTTCCTGGTAGCTACATACTTAAGTGTCTTATGCTTAGTTCTAAGGTCTTAGTTTACTCAGTACTTCCACATCTAAATACTCCAACTTCATTCATTTATATGTGATATGGAAAAGGTCAGGATTTCTAATGTGACCACAAACCATCATCTGAATCTGTTCCTGCTTCGCATCAGTTAAGAGTGATTTGAAAAAATAACTCAAAAGTAATAACTTAAGTCGAGGCTGGAGAGATGGCACAGCAGGTAGGGTGCTGGCCTTGCACAAAGCTGTCTCAGGTTTGATCCCCTGCATCTATGGTCACTAGAATACTTCCCAGGAATAATTCTTAAGTGGAGAGACAGGAGTAAGCCTGAGTACTGTCTGGTGTGGCCCCAAAAACAAAACCAACAAAGCAAATGGGATTGGAATGACAGTACAGCGGGTAGAGTGTTTTCATTGCACACTGCCAACCCAGGTTCAATCCTTGGCATCCCATATGGTCCCCTGAACATTGCCAGGAGTAATTCCTGTGTGCAGAGCCAAGAGTAGTCCCTGGGCGAGCACTGGCAGGCGTGGTCCCAAAACTAAGTAAGTATATGCAGAAACTTAAGTCAACAACTTTCATGATAAAGGGAATGAAAGTCCATTCCCTTCCCAAAGAAACCACTTTCAGAAAAGGAGGGAGGGAAGGAGAAGGAAAAGAAGGAAGAAACCACGATTGAAACTTGGCATTTACTTGAAGAGGAGCCAACAGATCGTAGCGTGGCGGTGTCAGGGCAGAGAGGGAAGGCATCACTCAGAAGTTTCCTTGGTGCTATTAAATTTCTTTGGTGGCAGCCTTGGCTGGGAGGGTAAGGCACAAAAGTTTTGTTCAGGGTTCTGAAGACCAGAAGGTGTTGTCGGCGAACTTACAGGGATAGAGCGGCTCAGGAATCTTGCTGAAGAAGAAGAAAGGCCAGTGTAGGTGGGTCGGAGGACGGTGCTGCTGTGCTCCTCTGTCGTGGTGCTGAGTGGGCTCAGCTGGCTGCTCAGGGGGCTCCCGCTGCTGCTATTGCTTCGGCAGTACTGGTTATTATTGAGCTCAGGGTAATTTCTGGCAGGCAACTGGGAGCTGCCATTCAAGAGGCTGGTGAAGGGACTGGCTATGAAACCCGCCTTGGTAGATGAGGATTTTTTGTTCTCTGGATCATCAGTTGCCGCATTCAAGTTCCCCAGAGAACTGGCTAGCCGGGAGTTTATGGAAAAGCTGAATGGGAGACACAGGGGCGGGGAAGAAAACACAGACAACAACGTGCATTTACATGGGGGTCACATTTCCAAAATACATATTTACAACATTAGGAGAATGAGATGGGAATAGATCTGGATCGATACACATGGTGACAGAATGGCTCCTTAACCCTTGTGACATTGGAACATGTGACCTTTATGCATGCCTATTTCTTCCGTCAAAAGACCCAAAGAGGCTGGCTAAAACATTCTGACCAGGGGTCTGGAACTAAAACATCAGAGGGTTCTGTTCATCCTGAAACAGGAATTAAGTTAAAAGGACTAGACGAAAAGCAAACTTAAGTACAAGATTTACTGACTCACGTTCAGCCACATGACTAGACTCATTTTAGTGTTTGCACATAAACACCAGGGTAGAAACAACAATGCAAGGTGTCGTCAGTATCTGTGACTGACTCCTGTTCTCTGACTGAATTTCCCTGCCAGAAAGGGATCATACGGGGCTTTCCCTCTGTGGTCTTGAACCCTCCGCAAGGCGCCACTGGGAAAGAGGATGGAGAGTCAGAGAACCTCTTGATTTTCTCCCTTCTTCCTGGTCCTACCTCTGACACGTGTCAAACTCTTTGCCACAGATGTCCTCTACCTCACCTCAGCGCCTCAGAAGAAGGAAAGAAAAATTACCTTCTTACGTTGGTGCCTGAGGACAAAGAGCCTCTGTTTATCCTCTTGGCTGTCACTGAAGGGGACAAAACCATTTTTGAGGTCTTCAAAGTAGATGCTGATCCTTGTGAGGAAGAACACAGTCTTTGTGGAAAGAAAAAAAAAATGGGCAAAGTGTCACAGGAAGCTATGCTCTCTTCACATTCAGTAACTGATCAGAGCAAGATAATCTCATCAACGCTGAAAAGATCATGGTAAATTCTAATGAGGAGGACAACAGCAGCAGCCAAGACGGGCGCAACACTGGCTTCTAAGACACTTCTGCATGTTACCTCAGCTCCTCGTCCAAAGCCTTCCATGAACAAGTGGCAGAACTGAGATTCAAGTCCAAGATCCAAACCTCTGCTCTTAGTCACACAATCCCACCTTCCTTGATCTCTTCCTTGCCACTGACCTGCAATCTTCCTCTGTCCTTAGGTTTCCATTTCCTAATATTTGCTCTCTCTTCTCTCCTTTCTATGCTGCAAATGCCCTAGGCGAGGAACCCTTGACTCCTGGCAGACTCTTAATCTTACTCCTTTCAACTTAATAGCTGAAGAATTTCCAGTGAAGTCTAAAATATCATATCCTTTAGCTAGACTATTGTTTCCACAGTGTGCAAAAAAGTCTAAATTCCAGGCAAAATCTGCTGCCAGTTGCCTCATTGAGAAGCACTGGAAATCCCTACTGTCCCAGTGGATGATTCTATTTTGGAACATTCCACACCTGAGTTCTCTGGGTGAATTATGTTCACACCTTCGCCAGTTGTACTCCTGCCATTTCTGCTCCCCTACTCCCTTTCACCTTTTCCGTTCTGCCTCCATTTGAATCCCTCCTACCACTGGTCTTTCTGATGCACCATTTCCTGTCACGCAGTGCAAATCTTCAATGCATTTCCAGACAAGGGAAGCACCCTATTTCATCATATATTCTCATGGTAAATAACAGCTCTTGCTCACTGTGGCACCACCTGATGTGTGTCAATTTCCCTTGCTATAGATTCCACTCAGGACAAAGAACTATGAACTAAAGTCTCATTGCAATTCTCAGAGACTAGTCAGACAGAATAGTGAGTAAACAGTGGATGGAAAAGAAAAATTGGACTGAACTCTAGCCCAGTCACAATTTTATTATAAAATCTATTTTATTTGGGACAAATCACTTAATATATCTGGATTCTCTTTTCCTATTTGCTATGAAAAAGCTCATTTAGGGGCCAGGGCAATAGTATAGCTTTCCTTGCATGGAGTCAACCTGTGTTTGATCCCTGACACCCAATATGGTCCCCCTGAGTCCCCAAGAGTGATCACTGAGTACAGAGTCAGAAATAAGACCTGAGCATCTCCAAGTGTGGCCCAAAAAGCAAGAAACAGAAAAAAGAAAAATTATCTTTATAAATGATAAATTGTAAATATAATTTATCTTTATCTGTACGCTTTCCCCCTCATTATCCTTCCTGCAAACAGCAGCATAAGGACCTTTCTGCCTCTAAAATAAGAATGAGAAAAGTGGCACAAAGAAGCAGCTCAAGCTTCTGGGCCCTATACCCAGAGGTGAATTATACCAGGCATAAGGAATGGATCTTCTTTTTCTTCTTTGTCTCAACGATTGTTAGCAAACTCTTCTGGTGCCTTTACCAAAGCTTCAACAAGATGCTGCCACCAGGAAGTATTCAAATGATATTTTTTTCCAAGAAAAACACTAATCTTTTCCTCCTCTAACAGAAGGCTGGGGAAAAAACTGAAGCTAGAAAATAAAGGAGGGGAGCAAACAGATACATAAGAAAGGGAAAGAGTTCTAGTAGAAACGCTAAACCCTCAATCAGTCACTGGATCCAAAGGCATCCTGCAGAGCAACTGTGCTGGGAGGACAGAGAACTCAGGTCTCAAGATCAACGTCTCCTGACACCAAAGGAAAACATCATTTGCGTGGCGGGCATTATAAATATAGCAAATTGGAACAAGCCAGAACATAAAGGGAGGAATTTAAAGAGTAATGCAAGGCATGCTATTTCCATGGGCTTTAGAACTGGGAAACACATAAGAGGAAGCATTTATTGAGTAGCTACTAGAAACTCAGTCTTGGCTGACAGTACCTGAAGGGATGAGACGTTGCTCTTGGGTGTGTTTTCAGATCGTCCAACCTGCAGGGATCAAAGACAGATGCTCACATATCACATGCTCACTCATTTAATTACATTGTATAGAACAGACCCTCCCCCCAAAAAGAATATTAAATTGGCAAAGGAGATGAATATTGCAATGGAATACTCATTTACTTTACTAAGACAGAAATAGCACAAAAGTCCATCTTAGCTGTTTTCTTTCATTTTGGATTTCATACACAGCAAATTGCTTTCTAATCACCAGATAGCATTACATCCACTATAAGTTTAAAAAATAAAATATTTCATAATGATACAACAGCTACTTAAAAAAACTAAATTCAAAACAGTAGGATAATTCTTTTTAAGACAAAATGAAAACAGAAAAACCTTCAAAATCTCAACTGTGAATAACTTTGTAATTCACATTGCTTTAACAAAATAAAACTTTGAGGGGATGAAAGAAAATAGGTAAACAATATTGGAATAAGTCTTCTAAACTTGTGTAGAATTTCTTGTTCTATCTATACATTTGCAAGCTTATATTCCAACTTATCTCTTCTTCCTTACATCTAAAAAGTAAAGCATAAATCTAGTTGAAATTAATTATAATGAATCAAAAGTTAAATTTTTAGAATTTTGAGAGAAAAATGGTAAATAAATGGTAAATAAATACAATAAACTAAATAGAAGAATCTTCTACTGGCTTAGAAAATACAAATAGGGCTGGAGCAATAGCACAGCGGGTAGGGCATTTGCCTTGCATGTGGCCGACCCGGCCGACCCGAGTTTGATTCCTCCGCCCCTCTCGGGGAGCCCGGCAAGCTACCGAGAGTATCTTGCCCGCACGACAAGCCTGGCAAGCTACCTGTGATGTATTCAATATGCCAAACACAGCAACAAGAAGTTTCAAAATGGAGACATTACTGGGCACACTAGAGCAAATCGATGAACAATGGGAGGACAGTCCTACAGTCCTACAGAAATAATAGCACTGGATTTGAAGATCAGTTCCACTCAAAATTCATTCCATGGGGAGTGATTTATTTAAATAATCTCTAACTGATCTCTAACTTAACTAGTCAATATAAACATGGGTGGTGATCCAAGCATATGGATGGATTTAAATTTAAATTTAAGCTCATTTAAATCTCATTCTAGACACCCACACGGGTTCTAAACCATTGCAGGTACTCAGGAACTACTCGGTTTCATACTGGAGTTGGTGCTTATTACTAAGCAAAATGCTTCCTATGAAATTTTCTCATCCTACAATAGGAAACTATTAACTCACCTTTAAATTGACCTTCATTCTCAGGTCAGGAAACCAGTACTGAAATGTAACCAGACCCAATCCAACTTAAGTGTTACAAGTTCCCAGATAGCACATGAAACTCCCTGTGAGTCTGTGTGACATTATCACAGTGGTAAAAAAATAATGAGGCCTCTTACTTAAAATTCAAAGAAAAGTAGTCATTTAACATTTGGCATAAGCCACACCATAAAGAATATGTACAGTATGTACAATGTATGTGTACAGCATATACACATAAGTACAATAAAGAATCTATCATTTTTTTGTTTGATCGATTGGTCTTGGGTCACCCTCATCCCCGCTGAGTTCAGGGCACACTCCTGGCTCAGATCACTCTAGAAAAGGTTCAGGGGATCATATGGGGTGCCAGGGATCAAATCCAGATTAGCCAAGTGCAAAGCAAGCACCCTACCTGCTATACCAGCTCTCTGGCTCTCAATAAAAAACCTTGGTAATATCTGCACATGTTTTGTGTATCTACGTTGATCCTAAAGCCGTAAAAAACAAAAATGGGGGCTGAGAGATAAAACAGGGAGTAAGGCAATTGCTTTCATGCTGTCAACCCAGTTTTGAATCCCTAGTACCACAAATGATCAGGGTCACTCCTGAGCACATGGCCAGAAGTAGCCCCTGACCATCACTGGGTGTGGCCCACACCTCTCTGCCCTGAAATAAACAAAACACTAAAACCCATGATCAGAATTATCCACAGCTTTCAAATACTAAAGTCAAATCCCATCGATTGATCTTGATGAGCAGTTTCAGACTTCAAAACCATGACAGTTTATAATAAATAAACATCACTAATGTTATTCCCCAAGATAGATTGCTTCGAAGTTGGATATCCCAAAGCTTGACAGACAATACTTTTCTGTATCCTACAGATTCAATACAAAAACCTTAGCATGGTTGTGAGGATTTTCCAGAAAGCAGAAAAGTCACTCAGAGGGGAATATAATTCCAAATGGTATTTGCAGCACAGTTCCAGAGACAACTGCTTAGCAAATTTTAGGTGGGATTTCAGAAAATGAGATGTAGTAGTTGCTGAACTGTAGTATCAACAAAAGTGAAAGCATGAGACCTAAACTATAATAACCAAACTTAAAAATGTGCTGGTAGGGGAAGTTGACCCTGGTGACAAGATACTAAAACACTGTATGCCTGATCTCAACTATGAACAACTTTGTAAATCACAGTACCTAAATAAAAATATAGCATTGTAGCACTGTCCTCCCGTTGTTCATCGATTTGCTTGAGCGCGCACAAGTAACGTGCCATTGTGAACCTTGTTACTGCTTTTGGCATGTTGAATATGTCAGTTAGCTTGCCAGGCTTTGCCATGCGGGCGCGATACTCTTGATTGCTTGCTGGACTCTCCGAGAGGGGCGGAGGAGTCGAACCAGGTTGGCTGCACACAAGGCAAGCGCCTTGCCACTGTGCTATCACTCCGCCCCCAAATAAAAAGAAATATAAATTACAAAAATATTCTAAAACTTCTTTCCTGGGGTCAGAGTGATAATACAGCAGGTAGGGCATTTGCCTTGTTCGCAGCTGACCCAGGTTCAATCCTCAGCATCCCATATGGTCCCAAGAGCACTGCCAGGAGTTATTCCTGAATGTAGAGCGAGAAGTAACCCCTGAGCATTGCCAAGTGTCACCCACCACCCCCCCAAAAAAAAATCACTATCACTGTCACTCTCCCTCTCCTCCCGTTGTTCATCGATTTGCTCGAGCAGACCCAGTAACATTGTGAGACTTGTTACTGTGTTTGGCATATCGAATACATCACGGGTAGCTTGCCAGGCTTTGCTGGAGCGATAGCACAGCAGGTAGGGTGTTTGCCTTGCATGCAGCCAACATGGCCGACCCCCCCAAAAATCAATAAATAAAATAAAACTTCACTCCCAGTGATAAAATAGCAAAACAGTAATAACAAAAAGATTGGACATAAACATGACACATGAAAAATAATACAAAGGTTAATTGTTCTGTTCACAAATGATAATGCAATATACATTGAAAAGTTAAAAATTAACCTACCTAAATGCACAGGATGGTGAGGAGCGTGGCTGTCTCTGACTTTTTAAGGCACGTAGTTTGTCTCCCTGGGTTATACTGTTTTTCATTTCCACATCTTCATCTTCTTCCAAATTATTCTATAAAAATATATATTCCATGTCATTTATTATTTGCCTTATATTGATTTTAATAGATTATGCACTCTATGTTCTTCTCTCCCGGAAGGGAGCATAACGACACTCGCCATAAGCAAGCTGCCAGACTGCGCCAGGCTGTTTCACTCGGGGCGCCCTTGAGGGGAGCGGGTGAGACCCCGTCCCTGCCCCAAGGGACCCAGCCCCGGCAGCAGAAAACTTTCAGAACCCAACCGCTGCCACGCTCAGGTCACCCTCCCTCCACATGCTCGGGCAGAGCCTCACCCATGAGTCAATCTATTCCTAGACATACCTCAAACCACACACCCTACCATACTCCAAGATTACAGCACCACATTTGATAGGGTTCAAAGAAGGAGGCAATCAATCTTAGAGGGAAAACATACACTCTTTTTTATACAGATACATATATAAAAAGCACACAAGACTCAACTTTTATTTATGCTCAAAGGTTATTCCTGGCTCTACACTCAGGAACCACTCCTGGTGGTGCTCGGGGGACTATATGGGATGCTGGGAATTGAACCTGGGTCGGCTGTGTGCAAGGAAACACCCTACCCACTGTGCTATCACTCCAGCCCCCCAAAGCTCAACCTTTAACAACATGCTAGTGCTCTTTTATAGAAGGGCTTAATGGTCCCTGGATGAAATACAATGATCTTAACACTCTTTCCTCTAAGGATACTTTTTGGTAGCATTTTCAACAGTTTTTCATAACAAACAATACAAAATATATGATTTCAGTTCTGCTTTGGGACAGGGATAGGGGTTTGGGATGGAAACACCCGAAATATGGTGGTGGAAAGGTGTAATGGTGGTGGGATTGGTGTTTGAATATTAAATGCAATCAAATATTATGAACTACTTTATAAAATAAAAACAATTAAAAAATAGATTATGCGCTGATACGCTGTGCGTAGAATATTTTAGTATAAATTACTTAATTAGCTTAAGTGTAGTATGAATTTAGCATTGTCCACTTTTATGCTAAAGAACCCACTGCCTAGGTAGTTCAAGGAGCTGAGTGCATGTTTTGGATGTGGAGGCTTGGGTTTGATCCCAGGCACTTCATGGTCCCCTGAGCACCTCCAGAAGGAACCCCAGAAGCACTGAGCTGGGAGTAGCCATCTAAGTACGACTAGGGTGGGCCTCATTCCCTCACCCAAAATAACACATATACACCTGTTTGCCAGTTAACTCAAAAAACGTGAACCAAATCAAAGAAGCATAGGTATGGAAAAGATAGCATCTAAAGGGAGCTGTTTGTTGCAATGGACCACAGCCAAGGCAACTCTCATTCAGCACAACCCTATTCTGGAATATAGCATTGTAGCACTGTCCTCCCATTGTTCATGGATTTTCTCGAGCGGGCACCAGTAACGTCTCACAACAAATTGTGAGACTTTGTTGTTACTGTTTTTGGCATATCAAATACGTTACGGGAGGCTTGCCAGGCTTTGCTGTGCGGGCGGAATACTCTTGGTAGCTTGCTGTGCTCTCCGACAGGGGCGAAGGAATAGAACACAGGTCAGCCGCATGCAAGGCAAACGCCCTACCTGCTATGCTATCACTCCAGCCCTTAAACATAGTATGACTCTAACACATGCAAATATTCTCCCGGATACTTGAATTCTATATTCAAATATATAGAACCATCATTATTGTTCCCTCATTATGAATTAAGGAATCATCATTATGAATTATATAACACTGACAAAAATCAAAGATAAAACTAGGAGATTTATACAGAAACTTAGTATCACTTAACGTTAGTAAAAGCTTAAAGACTTTCCTATAAGGAGTTAAAGGATTGTGTTCTCTAAACTGGTAGTGTGTTTTCTGCTGAAATAAGTCTCATAGCTTAAAAGATATAAGATTAAAAAAATTTTAAATAAAATAAATGTAGAATTTGGGGGTGGGGGAACTTTAAGAGCTAGAGATTCTAAGAGATAAATTACTTCTGAGACTTCACTGGAATTTCTGGTGTAATAAAACACCTAAAGGGCAGAGGAGAAAATGCAATAGAAGTCTTTGATAATTATAAAAAATGACTGGGAAAGTTGAATAAAAAGAACCAAAAAACCTACTTCTTATCATCTTCTTTCTGAAGTGTTTGAGTAGGTAATAACTTTGTTCTGCACTTATTTAGAATTCTTTATACTTAAATATTTATACTAATGAAAATAGCCAACAGTTTTAGCTCTAATCTTTTACCGTGGATCTCCTATATCTAGTATCACAGTTATTTTTCTATGCTTACTACACATCATGAACTGAACACATTGCTGGCATAATTTTAAAGGATTTCCTAGATCAGAAGTTGCTTAGACGTGACCTATTGTCCTGAATGACTGGCAGAGTTTTAGTAAATGGTGGATGAGTTGTGAATTCTGGTTTCCTCCAAACTATCCAGGGTACCAAGTACCCAAGTGCATAAGTTTGACTTTTATTTACACCTCAGTACTTAACTTTTCTTTATTACATAAATTAATATAAATACTACAGCAATTTGGTGAAACAGGTCACGGTGAAGAAATTTTTTCTAAGTTACTGGTGTTCTCTTTTTACTGCTTTAGCACCATTATTTAAAAGTGCTGTTTCAAGTTCTAGACTGTGGTGGTTTTTGACCCTTTTCCTTACCAACTCCCCTTCCCCCCAAAAAACTCAAATATAGTATAATGGTACTAGATATTCTGATGATAAACATTTAACTATGAAAGATACTTCTATTTAAGTTTTCCCTTTCTTAAGGACTTTATCTTGGAAGTATGAAGTTAAAGTCTTATCATAAAAAGTTTAGGTCATGGTAAACATACATAAATAATTTATTTAGGCAGAGAATTTTGAAATAAGCCTAGGGCAAATTTTTATTTCTCAGGTGTCCACTTGAGGAATAAGAGAAGCAGAAGATGTCCTAGTTACCTTTTTTTATTTAACCTTTCAAAATTAATTTACCTTATCAAAGAACCCTACAACAAAATGCAGTGAAACCTGAAATAATTTATCTCTAAAACTTTTAGCTCTTGAAGACAAGCTGACTCTTAAATCTTAGTTTTGCAGGGCAAGGAATTGAATTCCAGAAGAACTGAAGAGGACTGGGGAAAATGTGAAATTGCAAAATATATGAATTACCAACCTCAAATGTAACATGAAGTGTTTGGCATCAATAACATCCCAAGTATAGAGGTTTCTAGTCTACAGCAAGTATGACTGTGTATCTGAAAACTTGAACGCTTTAATGATTGATGATTATGATTTTTATGACATCTTATTATCTCATTCCTACTTTGGACATACTTGCAGGCTATCAAATGTAGCCTGCCCACAGGGCAGAGTCTGGCAAACTCCCCGTGGCGTACCAAATATGCCAAATACCAGTAACAATGATGGGTCTCATTCTCCTAAAGAGCCTTGAATATAATCTCAGGGCTAGGATGAAAGAGACATTACTGGGGCCTGCTCGAGGGAATAGACGAATAACAGGATGATGAATGAATGATTGAATGATTATGATTGAATATACATGTATATAATTTTGTAAAAATTTTCCACACAAATGGATTGCATAGAGGAGAAAGCTATGATATTGTGAAAATAATCTATATGTGTAAAAGGTGATGACAGTACGAATTGCTACTTTAGTCTTATTATCATGCTGTACAATAGCTATTAGCACCTAATTAAATGCACATCAGATCAACTCATTTCATATCAAGATGGTAATGCCTTATGATTATAAAAGTATGTATAACAATAAAGCATCTACAGTTCTAAAAAAAAGAAAGATATAAGTAGGGGCTAGAGCGATAGCCCAGCGGGGAGGGCGTTGCCTTGCACATGGCTGAGCTGGGTTAGATCCCCCAAGCACCACCTAGGGGTAATTCCTGAGTACAGAGCCAGGAGTAGCCCCTAAGCATTGCTAGGTGTGGCTCCCAAAACAAAAAATAAATTAATTAAAAATTAAGAAATAAATAAATAAAATTTAAAAATATAAGATATAAGCAATTCTCTAAATCTTTTCGCAGGCCAATTCAAACTGAATTCTCACCACCAGGAAATGAAGGTAAAGATAATAAAAGAAGGGTACTCATGGAATTGATGAATATTGCTCAAGCCCCCCTAAACTCTAACTGACAGAACTATAATTTTAAGATCAGATTTCTGGTCCCCAGTTTCAATGTTCCATCTAAAACAAAGCCCTGTAGCACTATACCTAAAGATTCTATTTCCGCCTGTTCCCTTACCCTATAAAACCAAAGGACTGGATCTTACCAAGATGTTTGGTAATTAAAATAAAATAAAATAAAATCCAGTTTTTATATAGGGATCTTTATAAGTAAAGATTCCCTCTCCTCTTTAAAGTCAGAACTCTTATTGGATGTAGACAAAAATATACTTTCCTAGTACTTTCATAGTTATTGCTGGATCAAAACACTTCAGGATTTAAAGGATGACAGATGATCAACAAGCGACCTGATGGTCTCTGACCCACATTTTACAATGAGTATTTTAAGTTTATGTTGCTTTGCATTTACAAAGTGCTAAAAATTTTGGTTTGCTCATGCTCTTTTGTAATCTTCCCATCACCGTTAGCCCGGTGTTCTCTATGTTTTGGTAATTTTCCCCACTCTGGCTTCTCAAGAAATATCTAAATTCATACTATTACGGAGTCTATGTGAATGTACTGACTGCACTAAAAAGCCATTAATTAGCTCATAAAATTAAGTGTTCTCTTCTTGTTTGCTGCTTATATCTTAGGGTTGAGAATGTGAGTGAGATGAACCGTCCGTCAGTCATTCTTGGGTGACAACAGTCTTGAGCTGGATGCCTAATTTTGGATTCACCATTTATTCACTCTTATCATTTTCAGTGTAGAGAATGTAAGCCTATTCCAATTTTTCTTAACTTTATTTGGGGAGTACTGTGAGAGATTGCTTCATAGGGTTCTTATGACAAGGATCATTATAAAGGTAAAGGTAAAG